ACAACATATTCGAACACACACTGGAGAGAAACCTTATTCCTGTGAAGTATGTGGCTGTTCATTTGCATATCAATCTAGTTTGCAGCAACATATTCGAACACACACTGGAGAGAAACCTTATTCTTGTGAAGTGTGTGGCTCTTCATTTTCACAGAGAACCAATTTGGTGCAACACATTCGAACTCACACTGGAGAGAAACCTTATTCTTGTGAAAAGTGTGGAGTTTCTTTTGCGGGAAAGTCAACTTTGAGAAGACATTTGCAAACACATACAGGTGAGAAACCATATTCTTGTCAAGAGTGTGGTTTTGCTTTTTCACGGAAATCCCATTTGATGCTACATATGCGGACACACACTGGAGAGAAACCATATTCTTGTGCTGCATGTAAATGTTCCTTTTCAACAAATTCACATTTGGTGGATCATATGCGGACACACACAGGAGAGAAACCATATTCTTGTGAAGTGTGTGGCACATCATTTTCACAGAAAAGTGCTTTGGTGCAACACATTCGAACACACACAAGAGAGAAACCATATTCTTGTGAAATATGTGGATCTTCATTTACACAGAAATCTAATTTGATGCAACACATTCGAGTACACACAGGTGACAAACCTTATACTTGTGAAGTGTGTGGTTCTTCCTTTTCACAGAAAACAAATTTAAGGCAACATGTTCAAACACACTCTAGAAAGAAACCATATTCTTGTGAAGTATGTGGAAATTCATTTGTACAGAAATCCACGCTGACGCGACATATTCGAACACACCAAAAAGAGGAACCTTTTTCTTGTGAAAAGTAGGGATATTCTTTTTCAGGAATCTCATTTTATTAAAACATATTCAGAGGAGAGGAACCATTTTCTTGTAAAGCATGTGGGTCTTAATGCAGTTTTAATCAACATATTCAAACATATGAGGGAGAGACACCATATGCTTCTGAAAAGTAGGGATATTCTTTTTCCAGAAATGTCATTTTAGTAAATCATATTCAAACACAGAGGAGAGAAACCATGTTCTTGTAAAGTACATAGGTCTTCTTTTGCATTGAAATTCACCCTAATGCGACACTCAAATACAGAAACCATAATCCTCTGGAAAGTAGGGATTATTATTTTTTAAAAATGCCATTTTTGTGGTTTTTCACTGAAATCATATACTTGGACACACTGGAGAGAGACCTTATTATTGTGATGTGTGTGGATCTTCCTTCTTGAGAAAGTTAGATATTGTAAATCATATGCATGGGCACAAAGTTTGTGCACCATCTTCAAGTGCCTGCTGAAGAGAAACTATAATCTTGTGAATTATGTGATTTTTCATTTTTACTAATGTCAGGTTTAATAGTACATATGTGAGCACACACTAAAGAGAAAGCATGTTTCTGCAGACACTGAACAGAAACTGTTTTATTGTGGAGAGTGTTCTTCCTTTTCACAGAAGTTTACTTCAGTTTTATACAATATGCAACAGAAACTCGTACTCTTGTGAAATAGCTTAAGCCATATGACAGCAAATATGTAGAATATCTTCTTTCTTCATGATGACAATATTTTTCTATGTTAAAACCTCATGTGTCCAATAATGATGCATAGTTAATGTGAGAGCTGTGCACATAAAGACTTTACTATAAAATAGTAAGCTTTCTTCTCAGTTACACAGTTTAACGTTTATAAATCACCATGATACATATCAGCATAAGATCGTAATTTGGTGTTATTTTGAGTTGCCTTACGTGTATCTGACAAGATTATTGCCAAGGAATGTCTCTTTTTTTTTATTTTCTGTATGTTCATCTTTGATATTTTACTTACTCACATTTTGGAGAAACGTTTTATAAAATAAATGGATCTACATGTCAACCTAATTCACAATTTTTATATAACATCATCTGAAAGAGAACTTTGAAATCAGCATGAAACTGTTTAATATTTTTGTCAAATCATTTCAAAATTGTTTCAAAAAATCACTTCACACAAAATGGAAATATTTTAAATCTTTGAAATGGTCTTTTTATGGATTCTTTTTTTTTTTTTTTTTTTTTCCCAAAGACAAAAGCCTTTACCCCTGAATTCTCCACGGTAACAAAAATTATTTGTTTGTTGAAAGAAAATGTTTATGATATTAATGTTTTGCTTAATTTTCTAACCAACTTTCCTGAGATATTCATCATTAAAATGGCCTCAATATTTTGAGTTGTTTAAAATGTGTCTGACAAAATTATTTTTTCCAATGGCAAAAGTTTCTGTCTATACTTCTCCATGATAACAAAATTTGTCCTTGTTTTATAAAAGAAAATTTCTATGTTCATTAAATTTGATTAAGCATATTATGTTTTACATAATTTTCTAACCAAACTTCTTAAGCTTGAAAGAAGTATCTGTTATGTTATCAGTCCTGATCTGGCATCTTGGCTTCAGTTATTTTCCCACTGCTGTACTTCAATGTGTCTTTTTTATAAATATTTCTGTGGTAATTGTTCTGATGGGCTATCCTCTTCGGTGCCTCAATTTTATGAATTTAAGCACAGTACTAGATTTTCAACGAGGTCTCATCATTTTACAGTTGAAATATCTGGATGTAATTGTAAATTCTATTCTAACATTTTCTTCTCTCAGATTACTTGCTTGCAGAATTCTCTTCTGAACTCTTACCAGTCAACTTTGATCTTCAAAAATTTAACTGAAACATCAATTGTTATCTTCTGTCTTCTTAATTTCGGTTCTTTCATTGTTCTACTTAATAATGCTTTCTTTTTCTCATATTCTCTCATCCGCAGTAATCCCTTGTATCTTAGTGGCTTTATTTTCTTGCTTGAGGTGAAATAATGAACAAAAAAAATGAAAAGTATAATTGTCAAAATTACTATGATAGTTGTCTCTCGACATGTCACTCTGTCATTGGAATTGTTCAAGCAACTGATAGGTCATAAAAGTTGTCTGGTTAGCATCCTCTAAAAAGAGCATGTCCAATTTTTCATATAATTTTTCCATACTTGTAAAATTTCCTTTGCATGTAAGGTAGTAATGTCCAGTTGCAAGATGGCTTCCCTGGGATAAAAATACAAAGTTGCATGGTGTGGTTTATCAAGACCTGTAGCAAGTCCCAGGCATCTTTCTTGTATGCCTTTCTTGCAAATTTTTGTACTTGTACATTTTTAAAATAGGCAGTGGAATGAATTTTGAAGCCATGATATTGCCTGCTGCACTCAGCTATCAATGTAAATTCAAATTAGGGAAGTTGAACAAGTGAGGAGAAAATTGATTCGATCTCCATTGAGGTTCCAAATAAAGTCGGTTGCTCAGTTCTTCTTACTAAAGCTGTATCTTCTTCATCTTTTCCTTCAGTCCTTTAATTTTTTGTGCATTTTTGAAGCAGTAGAAAACGACAGGCTACTGTGCATAAATAAACATTTTTATTATAGTTTAAGCAAAAAGTAAGCATTATTTTTGCAAAATACTATTAATTAATCCTTAAACTTACTAAATGACTTTGAGACACATCTTTAGGGCAAATATATTTTTAAGAGATTTTTCAATTTTTTTGTTAGTAATTTTTTGTCTATAATGTCTGTTTGATAAGTGCCGATGCTAATGTTTTAAAAATGGCTAAAACATCCAGAAACTTTTTTTTTTCATACAGATTAGCTTCATGCTATCACAGTTTCAATAAAACCAAATTTTAACTTCAAAGAAAATAATTAAATTGTCTGAAATGCATTTTTCAGGAGTTTTAGAAAGTCTGTGGTGGTACCTACATTTCAGTTATTTAAAACACATTTTCTTTTTTTTTTTTTAGTATGTCCATGACAGTACATAGCAATTCAATCTAATTACCAATAACTGTAAATAAAAAAAAAAAATAAGAGTAACAATATTTAACGGATAGAATGATACACTGTAAAGCCTCTCATAAGTTTGGTTCTAGAGATTACTGACAACTCTGTAAGAATCTCTTCAGTTTGAAGTATTCTTTTTTTTACTCATTTCACTCCAAGAAAGGTAATAAAGCCACTAAGACACAAGACGGTTACTGAGTGTTAGAAAATATAAGAAAAAAAACACTATTAAGGGGCAAGAACCCATAAAAGAACAGGAATTAAGAAGACAGAAGATAACAATTGACATTGCATTTAAATTTTTGAAGATCAAAGTTGACTGGGAAGCATGAAGTCAGAAGAGAGTTCCACAAGTGAGAAGTGTGATAAACTATTAGCATAGATCCCTTTCAATTATAAAATGATGAGACCTTGCCACTAATCTAGGTACCATAGAAGAAAGTTCATCAGAAGATTTTTCATGATAGTATTTATATTAAGGGCACAGGGAAAAAATGTTATAATAGTGGGAAAGGGACTGAAGGTGAGATGCCAGGTCAGGACCAATAACATTGCAGATCCTTCTTTTGGATTTTATCAAGAATTTCTAAATATATAGCAGGAGCGCCAACCTACATGGTAGCAATACTCAAAGCAACGATGAATGGTAGACTTATAAATATGGAAGATAGATTTCTAGCGAGTAAAATTGCCTACAGCAACACTCTGAACCAATTTTCCTAGCTGCAGACCCACCAACTGATTCAATATAATCTTTCCACTTCATATTCAGCAGAAAACTTTAGTCTGAGAAGGTGCAATAAGTAACTCTCCTGGAGGTTAACATCAGCCATGCTGATGGAAGGTAAAAAGTATTTTCATTGACTGCAGAATGCTTGGCTTGGAAATTTCCTTCCAACTCCACACTTAACTCTTTATGAGTATCTTTGCCTCATTAGCAAGCTTGTCTCGCTAGAACAATTATGATTTGAATAGTGAGTTCGATCCTAACTGGGTGCCCCATACTTTCGGCCTTGTGCCACATCTAAGACATGCTTAGAAAATCAGCATAAGAATTTGATGTTATTTTGAATTATTTTTCCAATGGTAAAAGTTTCTGCCTATGCTTCTCTAGTGGCAAAAATTGTGTTTAATTTTTAGTCTTACAGCCACATCCTGTTAAAACACCGGTCCCCATAGAATCACTGAAGTTAAGCAACGTTGAGCCTGGTCAGTACCTAGATGAGTGGCTATTTGGGGATACCAGGTGCTGTAAGCTTGGGCGTGCAGGTAGTGTAATAATGGATAATAGCAAGGAACTGTTAATCAGAGAGTCGACTTCCAATTTCAGCTCAATTCAATAAAATTCTTGACGCGCAAATACCCTTGGGAAATGTATAGATCCACCCCCCTTCTCCCCCAAGCTATGGGTTAATCAGTAAGATTTGTATCACTAAAACCATTGTTATCACAAGAAAAAAAATTTAGATTTCAGCATTAACCCATAGAGGTTGATATGCCGCTAAACGAAAAACAAAGAAAAAATGTTTGATTATGGTCTTTAAAATTGATGTTAAAATTCATTTTTACCCACTCCTATTGCATTTTAATCCCAGTATGTCATTTTTCATTTGTATTTGATGGCATATTAGACTCCACTGTATTTACATTTCATATTACAATATTATGCTGTTAGAAAAGGTTCAAGTACTGGTAGCTTCTCTGTTGGCAGGCTCTAGAATTGGCCAACAATTTCCACTGCTCCATGCTGCCCTCCTCTAAAAGCCAACCTATCAAGTAAATTCTGACAGGCTCCAATATGAACACCCTATCCCTGAAGCAAGTAAATGCTTTTATACTCAAATGTATATTGACACATGATGATGAAAATTTCTCCGATTTAATCGGTAGAGAAGACAATATTTATGAATAAAAATGACAATAGGAAAACTGGTAATTGCTGACGCGTTTCGTCCAATGTGGACTTTTTTCGTATTTTGCTTTGATAAAATCCACATTGGACGAAACGCGTCAGCAATTACCAGTTTTCCTATTGTCATTTTTATTCATAAATATTGACACATGTATATCTCAAAGGCAGCCAGATAAACGCTTTAAAGCAATTAAGACACTGAAGACAAAGTCTTTCATCTGCAGATTTATTAAAAGCCAAAAGGGTAAAACTCGAAAAAGAAATAAATACATATAAATAAGATTAGTTAGTCTGAAAATACAAACAAGGGTAACACGGAATATGACAAAAGCAGCCGGAGGCTTGAACACAGAATTAAAACCATTTGTCTGAATGGGTAAAGAAATGTAACGAAGAATTCTTTTTTCTTTTTTTTTTTTTTTTTTTTTTTTACACGAATGTGTATAAAGTTTGCTACAGGAATGCATTTCAATATTGCAGTGAGTTCATGGAAAGAAAGAAGTTTACATTTTGCAACAGGTTGTGTGTACAGTGGACATGTTAAAAGGATCCTACACAGTATGATACAAACATAAAATAAACGTACTGTCACATTGAAAGAAAATGAGTAACTACTGGCATGGAAGTTTGAGACACTGGACTTGTGAATATGTGTTTTCTGCCAGGAGTATAAATAGCAGTGTCAGGCTACTAACTAGAGTAATTACTGAGTGGAACTATCCTGTCAAAATAATTTTAACATGTGTCGATGATTTGGTTTTTGATTTAGGATTTACTAGACGTTGAGCTGAGCTAATAACAAGGTATTCACTGAAATGGTTAATTATCTTTGGTTAACTTTTACTTCTTTGTTCTTGTTAAGTATTTATTTGCAGTTGTTAGTCTTGATTTATACTTAATTATTAACGGTCACCGTATATCACAAAACATAAAATATAATGACATAAAACAAATGTTCAAATAATAATAAACGATAATGGAGAAAAGGTATTAAAAGTTACAAACTGGTGATGGTAACATTAGGGGTGAAATCAGGAGAATGATAAAACTACAAACTGTGTGTTTATGCTTTTATTGTGATTGCTCTGGTGATAACTAAGGGCTAACAGGAAGTGGTAAAAAATAGTGACCAATCTAAACGATACCTAAAGTAAAGAAAAGGTGGTGGTGGTGGGGGCAAACAAAGGGGAGTAAAACAGTGCAGTTTCTGTACTGTGGTATCAGAACAAAAAGACTTATTTTGACCTTAAATAACCTTACAAAGGTTGACGTAATTAAATTTAATGTTCTTATTTTCTGATACAGTGTAACCCGGATATAAGAGTTGGAGAGTTGTCGGGACCGGAGAAGAAGTCTCTTATATCCGGGTTTGGTCTAACACAGGCTGTAATTCGGGACCAGAGAAAATCTCTCTTATATCCGGGTTTCTCTTATATCCAGGTTACACTAAAGTTGTCACATTTATGCATGCACAAAATTTTTTTTAAGATACAGAAATTACTGAAGCTTTTCAATTTATTAGTAAATATAGTTTTTATCACCAAACTGCTACAATACAGAATTTTGAAAGAAAACTTTATAAATCATGATGATTAAAATTTAAAAGTCCTTGCAAAAAATTCATTATTCATCAAAAAACTTTTTTTCTTAAGAATAGCATCCGTAACTTTTTCTTAGAATAGCATCTATAATGTATCTTATTCATAAAGCAACTAAAAGCTTAATGTCTTAGTTTTATTGTATTTTTTATTTTGCAATTCATAATTTGACGAAAAAATTGGTTTAAAATAAATTCTCAAAAGACTTAGCAAACATCTATAATGTATCAAAATTTTATTCATAAAGCAACAAATAAAGCTTTTCAATGTCTTAGTTTTAAAAACAGCTTGTATTTTCATTTTGCATATTAATTTGACGAAAAATCCATTAATATAGGAAATTTATCAAATATTGTGAATTTAAAATTCCTCAAAAAAATTGGTTTAAAATTTCCTCTGAATTTCAAAAAAGTTTGGTAGTACTTTTTTCATCGTTTTCAAACATTTTATTTTTATTTTTTTTTGGTTCAAATCTTTGGAGGTGCCAATAGAATTTTTTCAAAATCAAAATTTCAAAAATTAAAAAATTTTAAAATTCTAAAATATTTTTTTTTTTTCAAGATTTTCTGTAAAATAAATAAGTTTCTAAAATAATTTCATTTAAATTTTCATTTAAAATTAAAAAAAAAAAAAGTATAATTCCATGATTTTTTTCCTTCTTAAAAAACGAAATTTTTTTTAAAAATTCAGTCCCCCCAGGGTTAAAGAAAATTTAATAAAATTTCAAAAAAATAAAAAAAGTATATTATTAATTTGAAATTATTTTTTTTTAATTTTTGAAAAAATTAATCCGAAATTTTAGTTAAAAAAAATTTTTAAAAATAACGAACAAAAATTTTTAAAGTTCTTGAAAAATAAAATTGTTAAAAATTCGTTTTAATTATAATTTTAAAAATTTATTCAAAAAAAATTTGAAGTTTATTTAAAAATTTTGAAAGAAAAACTTTTATTTATCAGAGAAAATTTTTTTTAGAGCCGATCAAAACATCGCCACAATTGACAAGTTTTCGTCTATAAATTATTGACAAGTTTGTTCTTTAAGTAATGGACATTTTTTTTTTTTTTTTTAAGCATCGTATATTCATTTATTTTATTTTTATTTTTTTAAAAGTTTTTTGGTATCTGGAAAAATACTATTAAAAAAAATTAAGAGGTGCCAAATAATAAAATTCAGATTTGCATTTATAAAAAAAAAAAAAATTCTATCCCCATTAAAATAATCAAACATAGTAAAGATTTTCACAGCCTATATTCTTTAAATGGATTTTTATATTTTAGGTTATATAAATAAAAATGTAAAATTCAGGAAAGTTTAACAACCCCATGAAATTAGGTATTTTCTGGAAAATGTTTCATTTAAAAGTGAAAAAAGCCAAAATTTTAAAATTTTTACAGGCAAAATAACCTGGGTTCTGTGTGTTATAAGATAAACCCGGATATAAGAGAAATTTTCTGGTCCCAAATTAATGAGCCTGTGTTAATGTTTATAAAATAGACCAAATCCACGGATATTTTTATTTGCAATAAAACCCGGATATAAGAAATTGTCCCGGTCCATTAAATTAGACTTTGTGTTAATATTTACCTATTAAATAGACCAAACACCAAAATTAAAATAATGTAAAAATAAAACCGGTTATAAAAAATAATTTCTCCGGTTTTAAAAATTCATTTTCTAAATATCCTTATATATTACACATTTTAAAAAATAAAAAAAAACTGAAATTAAATAATCCATATTTTGTATTCGATTTTCAAAAACTAAAAAAAAACAAACAAAACATGTCCTGTTTTTTGATATAATCTAAAACCCCCATAATTGAAATTAAACAAGTAAAATGACTTTTAAAAAAAAAAAAAAAAAGTTCCATATTTTTCGACAATTATTTTCATTTTGAAATATTTTTAAAAATTAATGTGTCAAAAAAAAACGAAGGCTAAAATGTTTTACAAAATTTATCAAAGGCATCTGATTTTTGAATGTTCTAAAAGAATAAATTTCATTTTTTTTCCTCTAAAAAGGTTTTGGTACATGCTATTTCGATCCAACAGAGAAAACATTTCTTCCAAGTAGTATTAAGGAATGATTCACTCGTAAAAAAAAAAAAACACAACAGGAAACTTTTTAGCATTTTCTAGACCTTTCTTAAAATCTTTCCCTGACTTTAGTTTTCACCTTCATTTTTTTTTTTTTTTCATTTTCTGGATTTTTAACATTTTCTCTTAATTTCTTTTTCGGAAGTACATGCACAACAAACATTTGTTGAGGTTAATAATTAACTCTTTACCTTAATCAGCTAATTCCAATAATTCTGTAAAAGCTGGGGATCAATCAATTTGACATTTAATAAAAAGTAAAGAAAGGCGACACACCCACTTCTAAATCAATAAAGAACCCATATCTTTATGAAAAAAAAATATTCATATCATAATTTTTTTTTTTTTAAATCCCCTAATTTTTTCGAGTAAACCAGTCTGTTTAAGTAGTGCCACCATGTGCTCATTTTGATTATAAAATATGTTCAACCTTTTGATGATAAATATAGGAGAAAAAGACAAAATGTTTTTGTTACGTTTTCGATATATACATTTGAATATAACAGTTCCGCAGAAAATTACTGCGGGACTACATTTGTTGTTTTTTTTGCGATACATCTTTCTTTCTCTTTTCGTTTCTTATTGCTTATCATGTGATGTCATGATAATGAATTTCACGGCATCCGACGGTGTGTATGAAATATATATA